CCGAGAGATGGTGCAACACAGTGGTTAGAGACGTTATCAGATATGGCTCAGAATAGAAGCCAGTGGCGATCCTGCCGTAACCTTCTTTTACTTTCTTCATAAAGAGTGGCTATAGCTTTCCTGAGAGAGTTCTTCTGGTTGTACGTTTCAGTCCCCCTTATCTTTTCATCCCTTCTCTTCTTACTTTCATTATTTTGTGTGGCGCATATGTATCTGGTGCCCTTTTGTACCAATATATATGTGTTTAAATATAATAAAATAATAATCACAAGTAGTTTTAATGTCCAGTTAAGTGGTCTAAAGCAGACTAAAAGGCATCTGTGTGGGTCTCACAGTATCGTAGCTCACTGATAGGTAGTTATTACGTATTGCGATAGGACTACACGAATTTCTACCGATTGATCAAATTCAGATATCCTAGTTTGACCCCAATACTGTTCCCCAACTCCAATAAATCAGAACACAGCCGTCAAATGAGAATTGTTTATGGGGTCAGCAGCAGAACAAAAGTGGTTTACAGACAAGGCATATTTATGCAGTTACGATGACTATTAACAGTAACCAATGGAAAGGAAGAACACGTAAAAGGTTATAATTAGGACAACTCAAAGTTGACCAATAGAAAAACGACACATGAAAGTCATAGTTAGGACAACTGTAAATAATGGCCATTAGGAAATAACATGCGAATTATGTGAAGAGTCTGAAAACATACCACTTTACATTCGAGATAATTTTTGGGATATTCTTGTGAATATCCTAACAGTAGTGACGACCAACTACTCCAATTATGCTCAAAAAACCTTTTATTTCTAACAGGCACCGGCTTTAAACATAAGGAAAGACATAGTCTAACATGGCGGCTCGCAAAATGGACAATTTAGAAGTAGATTTTTAAGAAACTAACTCAGTAACTGTCAGTATTGATAATAGCGAAAGCAAAAGAGATGGAGAAGGGAGGTAGATAATTGTAGACGACCGACAGATAGACAGACGGTAACAACGTAGAACGTTCAAGTCGCCATACCACATTAGCACAGAGATACAGTTGTCGATTCAAGGCCTATAGTGGAGGTAGTAAAAGTATAAGCAGTAATCGGAAAGATTAGGATTTGAAGATGTTATTCAAGGAGTATAATCCAGTGAAATAAATTTGGAGAGGGAAAAAGGGGGCATGAAAAATTCAGAAGATTAGAATTTGGGAGAACACAAAGAGTGGATGCACCTTCGCCATTGCAAACGATTTTGAGCCATGTCATTCAAGGTCTCTAACCATCGATTGCCATCATCTCGCGGAACCCAACCAAGTAGTCTACAGCAACCAACATGGCTCAGTCCACTTGTCAGTGACTCCATGGATTTGTGCCACGTTTTGTTCTGGCCACCCCTAGCTTTCTTCCAACCTACTCCTACACCATAAAACATTGCACTTCGGGACCTTCGGTGGTTGGGCATACGTAACACGTGTCCCAGCTATCTCAACTAATGCAATTTCACTAATTCATCAATCGATTTGCCATCCTTACCTAGTACCCGTTTCCTAACAACTGCATTACTTACCCGGTGGTCTCAGGATATACGAGTAATGCTTCGAAGACACCTACGATCGAATACTAGTAGCCTACGAATATCCTCTACTCTTACTGGTCATGTTTCACTGTCACAAAGTAGGACGGAACGAACTGCTGCACAGTAAAACCGTCCTTTGGTTGGTAGACGGATCTTTACTCGAACCCTACCAGTCGAGTGAGAGCTTATAGCGAACTGTCATATCATTTTACAACTTCAAGCGGTGTCCGACAAGGCTGTCCACTATCCCCATTTTTGTTTAAATTCATTATCGCTGGAAATAATACTCTCGTTGACTGAATTTTCAGGAATTGTTCTCCTACTAGGGGCTCCACTAAGCGACTTAGAATACACAGATGACATAGTCCTGTTTGGTGAAGACGCTGGCAAAATGCAGAGTCTTCTGTTAGAACTGAGTAATAATGCCAGGATGTTTGGGATGCGTTTCTCCCCATCCAAATGTAAATTGTTAGTCCAGAACTGGCCTGCTTCAACACCTGAACTAAGGATAGGGAGCGAAGTAGTCGAACGCGTCGACAACTTCACTTATCTTGGAAGTCTGATCAGCCCTATTGGGTTGGTGTCTGACGAAATCTCAGCACTTATTCAAAAGGCTGGTTTGGCTTTTGCCAACTTACGTCACCTATGGCGAAGACGAGATATCCGTCTACCAATTAAGGGACGAGTATACTGCGCAGCAGTTCGCTCTGTTCTACTTTACGGCTGTGAAACATGGCCATTAAGAGTAGAAGATACTCGTAAGTTACTAGTATTTGACCACAGATGCCTTAGAAATATTGCTCGCATCTGCTGGGACCACCGGGTAAATAATAGTGAGGTTCGACGCAGGGTATTAGGGAATGATGGTAAATCAGTTGATAAGGTGATGAATCTTCATCGACTGAGATGGTTGGGCCACGTGCTACGTATGCCTGAACACCGATTACCACGGTGCGCTATGCTGACTAGTGTAGGGGTTGGTTGGAAAAGAGTTATGGGTCGGCCAAACCAAAACATGGCATCAGTGCTTGAAGTCACTAACTTCTAGTCTGAGCCATGTTGGCAGATGCAGACTACCTGGTTGGGGTCGGCGTGCCTATCGTAACCAATGATTGGAGACTCTAGGTGACATGGCTCATAATCGATCACAATGGCGTAGGTGTATACACTCTTTATCTTCCCTTAAACCTTGAGATTAAAATTGCTTCATAACTTTCTTCTTTCCTGTACTATATCCTTATATACAACCTATAATTTATATACTACCACCGCAGTCAACACGCTCAACTACTTTACTCCCTATCATCAGTGAAGGTATCGATGCAACCCAATCCTGAAGTAACATTTCGCACTTCGGGGAGGGGGGGAATCACATCCCGAACATGCCTGCATTGTTGCTTATAGTGGTCAGAAGACTGCATTTTGTCAGCGTCTTCACCAAATAGAACTATGTCATCGGCGTATTCAAAGTCAACGAGTTATTTATTTACATTTGATTTAAACACATAAATATTGGTGCAAAGGAGCACCAGATATATATACGCCATAAAAATCTCATTCGATCTGTGTGAGGGCTGTGATACTGCCCAGGTGCCCAAACTGAAGCAGGTGGTTTTCTTAGGGGCCCACACCAGGAGCCTTTGACCGAAAGATCTGATCCACAATGCAGTGGAGCATCGTGAGGAGATGTAGTCCCATGGTAACCGGTGATCAACGCTTGATTCATACGCCATTTGTTCCCTCAGGATACTGGAGCCCATGTGCACCATTGGTTTGGAAACAGGGTTTTCCAACTCCCCTAGGTGGACTCGCCTTGTCCACCAACCCGGTTAAAGCACCGGACATTCGCTTTTCGTCCTCTCAATTTTGTAAACAACACCCGTGGCACGAGAAGACAGTGAGTAGGACCTCTCTGGCAGAGGCTATATATTCGCTGGCCATGTGAGAGCATTTCGAGAGGGAGAGCGGACTCTCCCCACTCTCGGCAGTACCAGAGCAACAAGTGAGTCTTCCGGTAAAAGTTCAACTCCTGGAAATTTAGATGATGAAAATGTTATCTCTAAAAGCATGTCAACGACAAAGTTAAATAGGAATGTGGACAGCCCTGACTAACACTACTTGAGGTAATCAATTCTGATGACACTTCGCCATAAGCTCTAACTCGACCAGTCGTGTTCGGGTGGAGAGCCTTTATAAGGTTAATGTACTTCCTTGGTACTCCTTTCAGTGACAAACACTGCCATAGAACCTCAAATGCCGCCTTAAGGTCGAGAAATACTACGATTGTGGGGCTTCTGAATGTGTGTCTATGTTCTAGGACCTGACGTAGTGTGAATATCTGGTCTATACAGCCACGTCCAGGTCGGAAACCAGCCTGGTTTTCTCTAGTCTGCTCTTCACGAGCTTTAGTTAGTCGTCAAAGTATTATTGAAGCTAATATTTTAGACACTATATTAGTCAAACTGATTCCTCTGTGATTGTCACAAGAGGACTTTTGTCCTTTCTTATAGACTGGCACAATCAGTGATCGAGACCAGTCAGATGGGATAACGTCTAGTTCCCAGATTCTACATAAGACCTCTGTTAATCTCATTTCCAATGCTGGACCACCACCCTTAAAAATCTCAGGGATAAACCTGTCAGGGCCTGCTGCTCCCCCTCGTTTCAGATTTCTTATAGCTTTTTCAACCTCGTAAAGAGTTGGTGGACTTACACTACCTTGTCACTCAGGACGACTGGGGATCGTGGGTAACTGGAGTGTGGCTGATGGCCAGTTGAACTGATCCCTAAAGTGTTCTGCCCATCGATCCAATCTCCTAGATTGAGAATGAATAATATGCCCATCTTTATCTGAGATAGTTTCACTAATAGTTGGGTTCCTAATACCGGTTTCTTTAACAAATCTGAATAGCTGTCTGCTGTTACCTATTGCTACTGCCTTTTCCATCTCTCTTGCTTTCGCTGCCCACCACTGTTCACGATCATTGCGTAGGCATCTTATTAGCCTTCGCTTAAGCTGACTCCGCTCTTCGTTATGTTCAGAGCCAGGTGGGATGAGTTTTCGAGCATCTATCAGTGTGGTAGATGCTGCTGAGATCCAGTGTTTTAGCCACGTAATCTTACTGTCAAGTGGAGAGACCATTAATAATTAAGTACACAAATTCGGCAATCGAAAAATGTGATAGTATTGATTCATAGGATTATTGATTTTATGTATTTCACGTCGTTGTGTGTATTTATTCTCTGTGACTGTTATCCTGATTTAGGAAAGAAAGCAGTATTGTTCTTTTTAGTTAAAGTTCAAACAATAATGCAATATAGACTGTTTTAAAGAACTTTTAGATTGCTCTACACTATTATTAGTTTTCACGTAGGTATATTGGATTTGATTCAATATCATATGATTATTTGACTTTTATTTTTCTTGATAGAAACGCCGGTTACAACAATATGGTGGTGGCGAATTGACTTATCGAGAAAGATGGGGAGGAAATACATGGTTGTAAAACTATGATTTCTTTTAACTTTGTAACCAATTCATTAGTTAATTGAAATAAATTAGATCACCTTGTAACTATACTTTTTTCAACCCTATGTTATAGGGATATTTAATATAAAAAATATAACACTAAATAATGGACTCTACTATTCGATGGGAAAAGTGAATGTATTCAATTAGGTTTAAACTGTGAACCTATCCAGCGTACAAAACTTAAAACCAATAAAAATTTGTACCTAATTTCATTTTCGTAAAACTAAGATTTCGGTTGTCATTCAGTTTTTAGTTACGGTGTAAATTATACTTCTAATTTTGACTTGATCATCTTAACTCGAAATTAGTCAAAATACTTCTTTCTACTATTTTAATATTGCATTTCAATGTTTTTCAAACAACTTGATTTTTTTGACATAAAATTTTTGCATGCCAATGTATAAACGTATTTGTCAATTTTCACAATTAGTACAGATTGTGAAACTGTTCGTGATGTGATTCTCCCCCCCGAAGTGCGAAATGTTACTTCAGGATTGGGTTGCATCGATACCTTCACTGATGATAGGAAGTGAAGTAGTTGAGTGTGTTGACTGCTTCACTTATCTTGGGAGTCTCATCAACCCTTGTGGTCTGGTGTGTGACAAAATCTCAGCACGGATACAAAAGGCTCGTCTAGCTTTCGCCAATTTGCGTCATTTATGGCGTAGGCGAGATATCCATCTACCAACCAAAGGACGGTTTTACTGTGCAGCAGTTCGTTCCGTCCTACTTTGTGACAGTGAAACATGACCAGTAAGAGTAGAGGATATTCGTAGGCTACTAGTATTCGATCGTAGGTGTCTTCGAAGCATTACTCGTATATCCTGAGACCACCGGGTAAGTAATGCAGTTGTTAGGAAACGGGTACTAGGTAAGGATGGCAAATCGATTGATGAATTAGTGAAATTGCATTAGTTGAGATAGCTGGGACACGTGTTACGTATGCCCAACCACCGAAGGTCCCGAAGTGCAATGTTTTATGGTGTAGGAGTAGGTTGGAAGAAAGCTAGGGGTGGCCAGAACAAAACGTGGCACAAATCCATGGAGTCACTGACAAGTGGACTGAGCCATGTTGGTTGCTGTAGACTACTTGGTTGGGTTCCGCGAGATGATGGCAATCGATGGTTAGAGACCTTGAATGACATGGCTCAAAATCGTTTGCAATGGCGAAGGTGCATCCACTCTTTGTGTTCTCCCAAATTCTAATCTTCTGAATTTTTCATGCCCCCTTTTTCCCTCTCCAAATTTATTTCACTGGATTATACTCCTTGAATAACATCTTCAAATCCTAATCTTTCCGATTACTGCTTATACTTTTACTACCTCCACTATAGGCCTTGAATCGACAACTGTATCTCTGTGCTAATGTGGTATGGCGACTTGAACGTTCTACGTTGCTACTGACTGACTGACAATTAGTACAACGTCAAATAAGTTATATTTGTCTGCGTTTTTCTATGATTTTTCACTACACCTCTATACTATATTACTTACTTACGCCTGTTACTCTCAATGGATCATAGTCGGCCGACCACCGTTCTCCAACTCCCTTTGTCCTGGGTCTTCTTTTCTAGCTTTATCCTGTTGTTGTTCATTCTTCTTTTATCTGTCTCCATTTCTCGGCGTAATGTGTTCTTTGGTCTTCCTCTTTTCCCTTCTCCTTGAGGATTTCATGTAAGGGCTTTTCTTGTGACGCGGTTGGCTGCTTTCCTCAATGTATGTCCTATCCACTTCGAGCGCTACTTCATGATTTCTTCCGCTGGAATCTGGTTTGTTCTCTCCCACAGTAGGTTGTTGCTGATAGTGTCTGGCCAACGGATCTGAAGTATATTGCGTAGACGATTGTTGATAAACACCTGTATCTTCTGGATCATAGATTTCATAGTTCTCCAGGTTTCCGTCTCATACAGTTGCACTATTTTAACATTTGTATCGAAAATTCCGATCTTGGTGTTGGTTAACAGTTGTTTTGAGTTGCAGATGTTCTTCAATTGTAGATATATTGCTCTTGCTTTGCCGATCCGCACCTTCACATCTGCATCAGATCCACCGTGTTCATCAATGATGCTGCTTAGATATATAAAGGTTTTCACACCCTCCAAAGCTTCTCCGTCAAGTGTAATTCCATTGGTGCATGCTGTGTTGTATCGGATAATCTTGCTTTTCCCTTTGTGTATATCGAGACCTAATGCTGCTGAGGCTGCTACTACACTGGTCGTTTTCTCCTGCATTTGTTGTTGAGTGTGTAATAGAAGAACCAGATCATCTGCGAAGTCTAGATCGTCCAGCTGCATCCTAGCTGTCCACTGTGTCGCATGCTTCCGTCCAGATGTTGACGTTTTCATGATCCAGTCGATCACCAGGAGAAAGAGAAACGGTGAGAGTAAGCAACCCTGCCTGACACCGGTCTTTACTTCGAATGAGTCAGTGAGCTGTCCTCCATGGACGATTTGGCAAGTTAATCCATCATAGGAGTTCCGTATGATATTTACTATCTTCTGAGGCACGTCGTAGTGTCGAAGAAGCTTCCATAGTGTTGTCCTGTCCACGCTATCAAATGCCTTCTCGTAGTCAATTAAGTTGATGTAGAGTGATGAATCTCATTCTACTGATTATTCCACAATGATCCGTAGTGTAGCGCTTCGACCAGCCTTACGGAATCCAGCCTGTCGGTCTCGAAGTCGAGCATCTACAGAGTCCTGTATTCTGTTTGATAACACCCTGTTGAAGACTTTCCCTGGTATTGAGAGTCTATACTATATCGGTGTAGATTATTTTTTAACTTCTTTCTTGGAAGTATTTATTCGAATTAATGAGTTTGTAATGTAAGTTTGTTCTCACTAAAATGAATCTATTTTCTTTTTCTCATTATAACATGGCCGAGTTATTCGAAAGTTGCAGTTTTCTGTATGGACTAGATGCTTTAAGTTGTAAATGGTTAGGAATTTTTTAGTACTATGGTCAGGAGTTAAATTATCAGCATAGGGTTTTGGAGATTGTTGAGTTTAATTGAAACCATGAACTGATCAGTGTGTTAGACCACCGCCTGTACCGAAGGTTTCATGTTCGATCCCAGCGTACGGGGTTGTGAATGCCTACTTCCGAGGAGTTCCATACTAGGATGAAACAACTGTCCAATACTTCCAGGTCTTCAGTGGCGGTCTAGCATTGATCGATTCATGATTTCAATTAAATTGAATGTTGTGGAGATTTTCTTGTTGTAAATATATGTGTATATTTTTGATACTTTCTGGGCATTTCTGGATCGAACATTCAGACAGTCAGAAAAAACTTGAGAAGAATATGGTTACTTCGTGCCCATCACTTCCAAACATTCAATACTCAATTGATTTTTCATATATTTGTTTGAATAATATCAGACGTAAGAAAGAGACGTCTGCATACTATGATGCTGTATTTATTAATTTCTACATGTGTACATGTCAACGTAATATTTGGACTACAAAGCTATTAACTTGGACAATAACTATCGTTATGAAACTAGTGTTGGCTTGCTTCAAAAATATATTGATTTATCACCTAATATCGTATTCTCATTTGCATCTAAACTTCTGTATAATTATATTTCGTAAATTGATAAGTAAATTCAACGTTTGTTGAATATCTCAGCATAAATGGTTAGCAAAAAAAAACAGAAACTGCCATTTCAACTATCAATACAGAGATATTTTAAGTTATTCTTAAGTAATTTGAAGAATTCTTGGCGATGGTAAGAAACAATCCGGTTTCCCATGATTTCTTATCATTTGTGCCTATCAAAAGGCAAACATGCTGCGCAACATTTAGGTTTGAGCTATCCTAAAATTGTAGAAAATATCCCTTAACAGTAGAAGATATGGTTAAATTGCATGTGTTGGATTATATGTATCCTTGAAACATTGCTTTTAGTGTGTTACTTTAGTGAATGGATTCATTTAATGTAGTATCTCATGGACTAGTTATTGATTAACAGTATATTCTGAAATAACAGAAACCTCACATCCAAACTTTATAAGAAGCCTTATAATTTACGAAATACTTATAGAATAAATATCTCTTCATATTTTGTTAGACTTTACTATAATCTCAATATTCATTTATTCAGCACAAATTTTATAAGCAGAGATGAATGATGGCTAGCAATAGAATCCTTGCTTAAAAATACCCACGATTTAATGGCAATATCGAAGTTATCCCAGCAGGATAGTCATATGTTAAAAGGGATTGATTAGTTGGATTCCTAAATATCAATGGGAAGAATCAAACGACTAACACATGTAAAATAAATTTTATACTTTTCATTCTTAAATCACAAAACAAAAAGAAATACTAACTATTTTTTATTTGATTGTAACTATTAAATGTTACACATCCTTATCGTATCAGATAAGAGTGACATACCTGATTCATCATTACACACATCTAACCATCAAGTAATTCATTATCTTATTTCAATTTAAGAAAACAAACAAGTTGCTGATAGGTATGATCATCACATACAAATGATAAATAATTATTACTGAGGATTTTGACTAACTGTTGAATTCAAATGATCAATTAAGCTTATGTTGTATTTTATTATTCCTGATCGAATCTATTTTACTGATGGTAAGATTTCAGTTATTATCCTTCGGTCTTTAGTGGTATTTAACAAATTAATGGAGAGAATAAAAACACAAAATTTTCTTTCTTTTATTATACTAAAGATGTAATCAAGAATTCGTATTTCATATGAATACATATATATGTAAGATATATATCATGTATGTCTAATAGTAATATAATAATAATTATGATGATGATAACAATATATTTAGTATAAAATGATATACAAATTGATTGTTTACTAATCTAATTTGTTCAAAATATAGAAATCATATGTTTGTTTGTTTGTTTATTTATTGTTGAAGTATCAATAATCCATGCCAATGACATTGTTGATTAAAACTAATTCAATATAGAAATTTAAGTTCAATATTAAATAATTCCATGATCAAATGATCAAAGTACATATAGAGATGATATTCATTTCTTATTAGACTTCTGTTTTTGTAAAGTTAAAATGATCAAATTATAAATAAATAACAATTTTAATACATTATAGATATATGATTATTGAGATATAATTTGTACATTTCACAACCTGAGGGATATACATGATTGAAGGGATTTTTGAGATTAATTAAAATCTCATTTGATAAACACATGATTACATGTCTTAATTGTATCATAGTGTATCTATTAGGTATATATATAATTATAATAATTGATTAACGAATTCATTATAGACAAAATGTAAGCAGATTTAGTAGTATAAAATGAACCAAAAAAAAGTAAAGTACGTATAAATTTTTATTTGAAAGTTCAATAATACTGTGAGCAATTTCGGGAGAGAAGAGTATATATATATACTCTTATATTTATTTCTTACAGAAATGTACACTAACATGATTATTAACTTCTTATCCTAATACGTTTGAAGATAAAGTTAATGATGTATTACTTTTATTCTACTTACTAATTTATAAGTAGTATTCTGATGAATCAATTAGATTTTGAAATTTATGAGGAAGTATTTGATCCATTTTTTTTCGTCTTAACATAAATATGTAACTGAATGTGAATGAATAATGTAGATAGACAATAAATAATGGAAATCTTTTATTATCTTACCATAAAACTAAATGGGATATGAGAAGAACGGTTTAGAGAATTTTTTGTAATGAATAAATAAAATTTCGGTATATTGATTTCAACAATCATTTTTTCTATAAGTAACCCAACATAATCAGAAAAAGAAAGTCATGAGCAAAAAACTTACTAGAGAATCATAAAAAGGGAAAAAACAATGTTAATATAATTCTGCTTTTTAATGAATGAAAAAATATAGGGTGGCGCTAAAAATAGATCTATATATTTTGTTTGAATTTCCTTTCTATTTTTTTAAAGTTTTTTCCTGGTTAGCCAGTCACATTTAGACCTACATCAGCGCCAAGTGATTTAGCTATACTCCATTCAACAGGTTCGTTTGATGGTTGTTTAGCCAATTGAGGATTGGAAAGGACTAGTTCACGCATTTCTGTAAATGCTGAATCAAGCATTTCTGCAAATTTTGATGCATTATTATTAGGATTAGTACGCCAACAAGAAATTACGACAACAATATTGTCAGGATGTGGATTGTATGCAGCACCGTATCCATTAGGTACAACTGCTCCATAACACATAAAAGCATCCATTGTTGTTGGTACCTGAGTAAAATATAGATAGTAGAAGTAAATAAATTGATAATAATTTATCGATTTTTATAATTTGCATCACTTACTATCTTTAGTCAGAAAACCTTTGAAGAAATAGGAACAATGGGTGACTCTGTCGCTCTAGTATTTGATTTATCAGCAGTGCACATCCAAAATCTACCTAAACATCAAACACAAGACCTTCTGTTTCATGCTGGCACTTAACCTTTAGACCACTGAGTCGCCACCTGAGATCATTACGTAATGTAGGTTATAAAATTCAGCAATCTCTACAGACCGTGATACTAATTTATTAATTGTCAACAAAGAACCCTAATTTATTAGCACTCCACTTGATCTGATTAAATAAATCACTAACGATAAACACCTTCATTATAAATTAATATCCGAATCCCTTTTAATCAAAATAAACAGGTTGCAAATAGCTGCTTTTATATGTTGCATATTTATTTCACTAGTTTTTAAAACAGAAACCTGTTTTTATCACTCTATGTTCCTGAAACAACAATGTGAAAAGTGTATAACATAAAAATGATCGAAACTTATTGTCTGTTTTTGTTTAAAACGTTTATTAAGCAATTTCAAAGGTTTAGGAAAGTTGCTTGTTAAATTATAAATCCTTATTTTGTTGAAATGGTTTTTGCATACATGTTTTGTCCTGTTACTAAATTAACATGCTCATTAAATGTAGATTAGTGGTAGTGTAGAAAAACCTCTGAGTAGTTAGATATTGATCAGACGCTGATCTGCGAGTTCATCTATGAGTATCGTATTTCATATAGCGAACTGGACAACTGTGAATTGTTGGTTATAGATGCATGACGAAAACTGTTGACACAAATTATCACTACTTTCAGGAATTAAGGTGTACTCAACCTTGAATCTTTTGTAACTCTATCAGTATATCTTGTCTCTTCTTATTTACAACCATTTCGTTTGTTAAATATTGACTTATTTTTATCGTTTGTACAACGTATACTAACCTAAAGATACAAGCCATTATATCTATTAATATATGTTTCCCAATTTCTGTAAGTCACTTTGAAATGAAAATTGTACGACAACCGGGATGCCACAAATACTTTCAGATTTTCCACGGTGATCTAGCTTCAATTGATTCATGATCTCAACTATTAAAATTACTAAAAATCTCCACAATATTTCTTCTGATATTAATTCATTGTTAAAGATTTATCAACATGGTTTAATTATACATTTAAATTGTGTTATTTTATGTTTTACGAAAAGAAATTTGCGTCACCTTTTTCTTCTTTTATCGAAAATAATTTTTTGTTTTTTACTTCGACTCAACGAGTATTTCTTTGTTAACCGTTTGCTTATTTATTTATTTATTTTCTATATCAAATGATAAGTTTTAAATACCCCTTCATCTTGTTTACTCATCTTAATTCTATAAGAATTTTGTATGTGAATAAAATCAAAAAGAAAAAAGACGAAAAAGAGACTGTTAATTGTCTATTCGTGCATATACTTCTTTTTTTTCATTATTCTTATGCTTTCAATTAATGTATACATGAACTAAGAAGAGTTTCTTTCTTTGCGTATGCACGTTTAAACATTATTATGCCTTATTTGCTCAAGTGACAATCCATGGAAATATTTTTTGTATTATTCATTCCAAAGAAGATGGAAAAAAAGAGAAGTAATATATTTCATTAACATGAAATGGTCTCACTAGGATATTTTATTCTTCTGTTTTATGAAGGAAAAAAAATCAAAATTTCAATCTCTTGAATATTTTAAGAACAAGATTGAAGAAAAAAAAGGATTTTTGTTTTCGTGGACGCGCACTGTTGAGGAGTCCCACAACAGGACGAAACGGCCATCCAGTACTTCCAGGTTTTCCATGGTGGTTTAGCTTCAATTGATTCATGATTTAAACTATGCAAATACTGAAGTCTCCACAAAAACTCATTCTGACTTATGTCTTACTAAAAAAATTAGTTTGCCTACAATCGATATGATTTTTTTTCTTTTTTTTGTAGTGATTGTTTTCATGATATGGAATTGTAGTTTACAATTGATTACTTAGGTCATACCTTATTGTTCAGTGCAAAGAAAACTGATCAGTTTATAGAAAAAGAATAATTGTTCTCTACTAATTTTTCATTAAATATCTACTTTTTCCTAATGTTGTTTAATTAGTAATTGACATCAATTAATTCTCTAGTTGGGGAAATGAATTATAATTAAACATCTTTTGACTGGTTCATGGTTTCCAACTGATGTTAGCTCGTGATGAACATTAATGAAAATCAATTTA